TTGTTGGCAGCTTCTTCTCTGGACGAAGCCAGGTAGCGCTTCATCCTGCACGAGAGGGAAGGGCTGAGCCGAGCTTCAGGGCACAGCTCCCCCCAAATCCTCCTTTGGGGCTGAGTCACTGCCCAGGAATTCATCTCCTTACGCTCAACCAAGCACATCCAAGGTGAAGCCAAACCTACATTCCATCCAGGTCGTTCCCCGGGTACATGAAGTAGTTGGTGGGCTCCAGCCCCAGCTCCTCCCTCGAGCCGCTGAGGCCGACGAAGACGGTGAAACCCGCCTCGCCAGGGGCCAGCATGTGGAGCTGGGCCTGGATCTCTGCAGCGTGCAGGGAAAAGGGCAGTTAGTGTGTTCTGGGGGAAATCAGGCTTTTTTAGGATCCTCGGATACGAAGAAGTGGTTTCTCCAATCCTGGTCCTTTCCCACCAAACCCTGACCCTTCCCACCCACACAACCATCCCCTTTCCACCCAACTGTGACCCTTCCACCCAACTGTGACCCTTCCCAAGCACCTCTGTCCCGTTCCCCCCATCCTTGCCCCTTCCAGATTTTCTAGGACATTCCACCAACTCCCACGAATTTCAGGGCCCTGCAGTGTGTTTTTTTTTCTTAGGGAATCCTCGCACCAAACCAGGACTTCGCCAACCACAGCCAATTAATTTAAGCTGAATGAAAAACCCCCGCGAAGAAACGAGCGGGCCAGGGCTGGGTTTTGAGGGCTGTGGCACAGGAGCCACGGAGGTTTGCCAGGGTTAATTGGTAAATCGGCTTTCCCCTGAGGCTCAGGGTGGGATTAACGCGAGCCGCACCTGGCAGAGCCCGCGCCTCCGCCGGCAGCAGCCGCTCGTAGGTGTTGAAGATCCCGGCATCCGAAATGACCACGGGAGCCAAGATATCCACCGAATCCTGGCCTTTTTTGACGCTCACACCTGGCGGGGGAAAGGCAGAGGGGGAAGGATGAGGTGCTGGTGAAAGGAGCCCCGCTTTGGGAGCAGCCCCGTGGCAGGTGCTCACCGCAGGCTCTGCCCTGGGCGTCCAGCAGGATCCTCTGCACCGGAGCCTTCCCAAAGACGTTGCCTCCAGCCCTCCGGATCACCGGGATGGTGTGGAAGGCGATTTCCCCCGCCCCACCCTTGGGGTACCAGGCGCCGTGGAGGAAATGGTTCACCAGGATGCTGTGCATGGAGAAGCTGGCCTTGGAGGGGAGCACACCTGGGAAAAAGGGCAAATCCACACCAGGGGTTTGGGCAAATCATGGGTTTGGAGCTTATCCTAAAGGTTTTAGGATGAGGAGCACCCTGGATGTGACATTGAGAGGAAGGTGAGGAATCTGGAGGAGTAGGGAGGACATTGGGTATGGGTGTCCCCATGGCAAACCTGTGGTCACCAACTTGACCAAGGCATGGGGGGCTGTGAGCAAAGCCCAGGCGAGGGGGTGGAGGGAAGGGAGAGGTTCTGGAACATTCCCTTGTACAGAAATGATGTCACCCCACGGGGAAGATGAGGAACGCAGAGGGAAAGAGATGGAGATGAGCAACGGGGACGTGTCACCTGCCAGTGACTTGGGGACAAGAATGCTGGCGAAGCATCCACCAGAACATTCCTGCAAACCTTCCACAAAAGGGGGTTCTTACCTTTTTTCTGTTTCTAAAGGGTTTAACATCATCCCAGGGCCTCCTGGTCACCTACCATAGGTGGGGAAGATGTAGCTGAGGACAGCCCGGAGCTCGGGGTTGGGAGTGAGACCATCCACCACCTCCTTGAGGCTGCGTGAGGCCAGCTGGGAGAAGGAGCAGAGGCGTGGGAGCAGCCTGGAGCAGATCAGGAGCCTGGCCAGGAACCTGGGGAGCATCTTCAGGATCCCCAGCAGCACAGCCCCACGGCCGGCGCTCTGTGGGGAGAAGCCGGGGGCTCAGACACACCCCAGAGATGCTCCAAAGCATTTTTTCCCCTTAAATTTACTGCCAGGCAGCCTGGGGAGCTGTGGGCAAGGGTAGTACTGGCTCCCTCAAAAACCTCCTTCAAGAGAAGCTTCTGCCAAAAAGTTTCCCCACTGAAACTCCTCCAGAAAGGTCCTCCCAAAAAACTTCCTCAAAGAGTTGCCCAGAAAAATGGTTCTTGAGAAAAGGACTCTGCCCCAACTCAAACAACTTCTCATTTAAAGAAATCTCCCCCAAAACATCCGTGACGCTGCATTTTTGAGGCAGAAAGGGGCGATTTTGGCCAATTTTGCTGATTGGTGTGTTTCCCAGCACTTTTGGGGTGATGCATCATTCCCTGGGGGTGCCCAGCATGCAGGTGCCAGGGGGGCTCCCCTCGTTGTGTGACCCCCCCAGATCCAAGCTCCCCTGGTGTTCCCCACCTTCACCAACCGCTGGAACTCGTCGATGGCCGCCGCCTCCCCGGGGAATTGCTCCTTCAGCCGCTGGAAATATTCCCTCTCCCCAGAATGGATGTGGAAGGTCTTGCCAGCACCCTGGGGGTCCCCCAAAACCACGGCGTCGTAGGTGGCCGGCAGTGGGGCCCACTCCAGCTGCCCATCTGTCAGCTGGTCCACCAGGAACCGCATCAGGGAGCCCTCCTGCATCTCCCCCACATAGTGGATCCCTAAAATAGACATTTTTTCCCTTATTTTCCTCTTTTTTCCCCTTATTTTCACCTTTTTTTTCCTTCATTTTTCCACCCCAAAGCCACCTCTTATTTATCCACCCCTACCCCATCTGCTCCACGTGGAAGGGAAAGGGAAAATCTGGGATTCATCCAGCTGGGGTGAATGGCACTGGAAGGGAAAGGGAAAATCTGGGATTCACCCAGCTGGGATGGATGGCAGTGAAAGGGAAAGGGAAAATCTGGGATTCACCCAGCTGGGGTGGATGGCACTGGAAGGGAAAGGGAAAATCTGGGATTCACCCAGCTGGGGCAGATAGCACTGACCAGTGATTTTAGCTGGTAATTTTGGAGTTTTGTCACACTTTGCTGTCCATCTGTGCTGTAAATAATCAAACCCAGCCATTCGGGGACACGCAGGGCCGGACTTTGTCTTGCCACAAGAAGTTTGCCAGCAAGACAAAGTGTCCTGAGGTGACATCCCCCACACAGGGGCTGGCTGTGGGGAATTCAGGGCGTTGCTATCCCACACCCAGAGGGGTTTTTTTTGGGGTGAAGAGCAGGAAAATGTGTAAGAGCAGGGGAGCTCCCACCCCGAGGGTATCCCGTGCCCCTCCCTCGGCTCCAGGGGGGGAACCGGGGGCCCCGAACGGTACCGGAGTCAAACTCGAAGCCCTTCTCGGTGAAGGTGTGGCAGCAGCCGCCCAGCTTGCCGTGCTGCTCCAGCACCAGCACCCGCCAGCCCGCCTTGGCCAGCAGCGCCGCGGCCGCCAGGCCCCCGATGCCGCTGCCCACCACGATGGCATCGAGCTGCGCGGGCACCTTGTCTGCCGAGAACACTGCAACGGGGCAACGGGGGCGTCACCGGGGGGCACCGCGGCAGGGGGACCCCCGAAACCGCCGTGAGCGGGTGGCACCGCGGGGGGAACAATGCCACCCTGGGGGGGTCCGTGACACCCGGGGTGGTGACACTCTGGGGGTGACAATGCCACCCTGGGGGTGTCCGTGACACACGGGGTGGTGACACCCTGGGGGTGACAATGCCACCCTGGGGGGGTCCGTGACACCCGCGGTGATACCACCCTGGGGGTGACAATGCCACCCTGAGGGTGTCCGTGACACTCGTGGTGGTGACACCCTGGGGGTGACAATGCCACCCTGGGGGGGTCCGTGACACCCGGGGTGGTGCCACCCTGGGGGTGCCAATGTCACCCTGGGGGGGTCCGTGACACCCGGGGTGGTGACACCCTGGGGGGATGTCGCTCCGGGGCCGGTGACACTGGAAGGGACAATGCCACCCTGGGGGGGTCCGTGACACCCGCGGTGGTGCCACCACTGTGTACACCGCTCCGGGGGACCTGCCAGCCCGGGATGACACTGGGGGTGCCAATGTCACCCTTGGGGGGTCCGTGACACCCGGGGTGGTGCCACCCTGGGGGTGCCAATGTCACCCTTGGGGGGTCCATGACACCCGCGGCGGTGCCACCCTGGGGGTGCCAATGTCACCCTTGGGGGGTCCGTGATACCCGCGGCGGTGCCACTCTGGGGGTGCCAATGTCACCCTTGGGGGGTCCGTGACACCCGCGGCGGTGCCGCTCTGGGGGGATGTCGCTCCGGGGGCGCCGCCAGCCCGGGCAGTTGATGGCAGCCCGGGTGTGCTGTCCCGGGGGATGATCCTCCCTGGGGGCGATGGCACCCCGGGCTGCTGGTGCCACCCCGGGGGTTTGGTGGCCCCGGGGGTCCCGTACCTGTCTTGACGACGGTCCTGCGCACAGCCTTGTCGGTGACGAGCGGCGCGGGCGGGCGGCGGCTGTCGGTAGCGAAGGGGTTACGGCTGCCCGAGACCGGCAGGAGCACGAGGGAGAGGAGGACGAGGAGGAGGAGGAGAAGTGGGGCGAGGAAGAGCAGCGCCTGTAGCCACATGGCGCCGCGGGAGCCGCGCTCTGCCCCGCGGAGCCGGGAACGGCGGCGGGCACGGCACGAACGGGAACGGCGGGCACGGGGCGGGGGGACCGCGGGGAGGAGCGGGGGCGGGCACTGGGAGGGGCATTGGGCACTGGGAGCTGGGGCTGGGAAGGGGCACTGGGCACCGGGAGCTGGGACTGGGCACCGGGAGCTGGAACTGGGCACTGGGAATTGCGACTGGGCACTGGAAAGTGGCACTGGGCACTGGGAGCTGGTCCCGGGCATTGGGAGCTGGGACTGGGCACTGGGAATTGGAACTGGAAAGTGGCATTGGGCACTGGGAGCTGGTCCCGGGCACTGGGAATTGGGACTGGAAAGTGGCATTGGGCACTGGGAGCTGGTCCTGGGCACCGGGAGCTGGTCCCGGGCACTGGGAGCTGGGACTGGGCACTGGGAATTGGAACTGGAAAGCGGCATTGGGCACTGGGAGCTGGGACTGGGCACTGGGAGCTGGGACTGGGCACTGGGAAATGGGACTGGGAGTTGGGACTGTGCACTGGGAAGTGGCGTTGGGCACCGGGAGCTGGTCCTGGGCACCGGGAGCCGGGACTGGGAAGTGAGAGCTGACACTGGGCACCGGGAGCTGGCACTGGGAGCTGGCGACACCGGTGGTGACACTGGCATACTGGGAGCTGGCACTGGCACCGGTCGGCGGGACCGGTCGCCGCTCTGCCCACCCCGGAAGCCCCGAGTCCCGCTCCGGGCCCCGCCCCCGTTCCAGCCCCGCCGCTTGGGCCCCGCCCTGCCCCACCCCTTTTCGTCCCGCCCACCGGGCCACGCCTCCGCCCCGTGCGCCTCCGTTTCCTCGTCGCGCGGTGCGCCCCGGGAATTGTAGTCCCGCGTGCCCGCGCTGGCGGGTTGAGGTGCGGACTACAGCTCCCGGCGTGCAGCGCGGCCGCTTCGGGCTGAGGGGTCAGAGAGGTCTGAGGGGCTGGAGCGGGTCTGGAACGGGCTCCTGAGGGGGTGGCTCGGGCTCCGGAGGGGCTGGGGTGGCTGTGGGGTGTCGGTCGCCGGGACGCCCCCATTCCCACCGGCCGATCCCCTTCTGCCCCGCAGGCCATGAGCGGCGCCGGGGGCTCGGAGCGGTCGGAGCAGCGGCCGGAGCGGCCGGAGCAGCGGCAGCGCGTTGTGCCCCCGGCAAGTTCCTCGTTCCTCTCCCGGCGTGTCCGGCCGGAGCCCCCCCAGCCGAGACCCGCGGGGCCCCCACCTCAGGGGTGCCAGCCCCCCACTTGGCCTCATGGCTCCATATCTGCTGTTACAACCACATAAAATCGTCCTGAGGGTACAGACCCTCCCTGAAGGGGCCTGAGCCAACTTCCTGGGGGCACAGGGGCTTGTTCGCTGGGGGGAAGAGCTTGGGATTCGGGGTGGGCTGGTGTTTGGGGTCTTTCTGTGACACTGTGTTCCCTCTGTCCCCCTCAGATTCCAGCTCTGGGGCAGGGAGGTGTCCTGCAGGAGCTGATGCTCGGAGTGGGGCAGCCCCCAGACCCTGGTGAGCTTTTCCTGCTTCCCTTGGATCAATCGTGGCGTTTCGCGGTGGGAAAGTCACCCACGAGCCCCCAGGGATCAAGCAGGGGGGGATGTGCCAGTCAAACCCGTCTGGTCCCATATCATTCCCCAAACTCACCCTAGACAAACCTTGTGGTGCCCGGGGTGGCTCCGGCTGCGATTTTCCTTGGAAAAGAGGAACCACAGCCCCAGGGTGTACTGAGGGGGGCTGGGGGAACCCCCACTCAGTGTCTGCCCCCCAGATGTGACTCCGGTACCCCTTCCCTTGGGCAGGGATCAGCGAGGAGCAGCGCCAGGCCCGGGAGGAGTGGGAGGCTCTGGAGGAGATCCAGTCAGGTACTGGGGCTAACAGGGGGCTGGGAAGGGGGAAAGAAACCGCAGGACGGGTGGGGGCAAAGCGGGGGGCGTTACTTGCAGTGGAGGGGAGAGACGGGGCTGGCAGTTCCTTTTTCCCCTTTTCATTCTCCTGGAACCGGGGCTCATTCGGGGGTGCAGCCAGGGCTCCGTGGGGGTCTGACCCGCTCCCTGCCTCCCTGCAGGGTTGGGGGGCAGCTCAGGCGCGGCCCCCCCTCCGATTTCCTTCAGTGAGGCGCTGCAGCACTTCCAGAGCGCGGAGCTCTCTTCCAGCCGGGTACGGCCGGGCTCCGGCTCCGCTCCTTGCCGGGAGAGGGGCACCAGCCCCTGCCCCGCCGCCGGCCGCGCTCCCTGAGCGGCTCGGGGTGTTTCTCCTGCAGGGGAAGGTCCGGGCTCCGGGGCGCCGCGGGATCCTGGCCGCCCTGCTCCGCTGCCTCTGCGGGCCCCCCCGGCTCCGCCCGCAGCTCCGCGGGGAGCAGGAGCTGGCGCTGGCCATGGCGCAGTGTGAGTGGTGCCCTTCGTGCCCTGCTGGATCTCATCCCTGCTCCCTTCCTACGGGCACAGCTCCAGGCGGGAGCTCCGGCTCCACGGCCCTTCTGCCCCTCAGTCCAGGGGCACATGGGGTGGGAGTCATCCGGTCCCTTGGCATGAGGGGGGCACACATGGAAACCCTGGGCCTGTGGGTTTGGGGGCAAGTGGCCTTCTCTGGGCACCGAGGGGGTTTTAAGGTGCCAAGCTGTGGCTTTTAGGTGCTGTGAGGGCGTTTTTGGAGGGTGTGGGTTTGGTTTTGGGCACTGAGGGACATTTTCTGGGATTTTTAGGGCATTGAGGGGTGAGTTTGGGGTCTTTTGAGCACCAAGAGGCATCTTTTAGGTGCTGAGGGATGTGTTTGAGAAATGGGGGAGATTTTTAGGGTGCCATGGGTTTGGTTGCTGAGGGTTTTGCAGTGCCAAGGGGCATTTTTAGCTAACAAGGTGGGAAGTTTAGGTTCCAAGGAACGTTTTTGGGGGCCACGGGGTGTTCCTGGAGCAGCGAGGGATGTTTTCCAGATGCCAGGAGTGTCCTGAGGCCCCTGGGTGCTGGCTCCCTCCCTGCAGGTGCCCTGGATGACTCGGAGCGGGTGCACATGCGCATCCTGCAGACCATCTACCGGCAGCTGACGCGCTCCAGGCTGGGCTGCCCGCGCTACGGGGCACACTGGGAGGAGCTGGGCTTCCAGGGTAGGACAGGGAGCAGCCCTCTGCCTGGGGAGATCCCCAAAATCCATTCAAACCTCCCCTGGAACCTTCCCGTTCCATCCCAGCTCCCTCAGGCACTCCCTGTGCTCCAGACCCAGCTCCACTGGCCTCCCTTGGACATGTTCCAGCACCTCAATGTCCTTCTTGGACCCCAAAATTGATCCCAGGTTTGATCACCCCAATCCTCCCACTCCTCTCCATATCCCTACAAAATTCCCGGGGGGACTCTCAGTCCCTTTATCCACAGAAGAACTAAACCAAACTGGCCCCAGTATGACATGTGGACTGGTTGGCTGGCACATCCCAGTACTGCATTCCTAAAAAAGCTGGTAATTCCTGGAAAGGTGTGGGAGTGGGAGGGGTGGGGCAGGGGCTGGGTAATGCCCAGGTGAGCGAGGTGATGGCCCCATCAGGGAAATGGCCTGAAAGCTTTCCCACAGGAAAGGGAATCCCCAGCATTGTTGCACTCTGGAAATGCAGTGACAGGGAGTACAGGGAGAACAGCCCATGGAAGTGGGAAGGAGGCAGGGGGTGACTCCAGGCTCACCTTTCCAGGTGCAGATCCCGGGACTGACCTGCGTGGGACGGGAATGCTGGGGCTGATGCAGATCCTGTTCTTTGTCCTGGATTCCCGGACGCTGCCGCTGGCACGGGAGATTTTCCAGCTCTCTCAGCATGAAACCCAGGCATGACCTTCCCCCCACTCCCTGCCAGGGGGTCTCCCTTGGAATTCCCCATGCTCTGGGAGAGGGAAGAACAAAAACCTTCTCTTCTGAGTTTTTTTGGGATGCTGAACCACCCCGATCCAGGCTGGAGCAGAGCTCCAAGTGCTGTATTTATGCTGGGAATGGGATTTTAGGGATTTGATACTGGCTTGGAGCAGGATAAACAGGCTGGAGAGTTGGGCAACAGGAAAATGGGAGTGAGTACAGCCATTTTAGTCCGGGTTTAAGCCTGGGTACAAGATAGGCTCAGGCCTCAGCATCCATCCAAGCCTGGGTCTGTAGGGCTGTTATCCCAGTGCATGGATCCCATGGATTTGTGCATGCATGGATGCAGTGTCAATGGGCCAGAGATACCAGAGGGGAGGAGGGTTTTCCAGCTGAGCTTCCTTAATGCTGGAATTGTGGTTGTTTTCCAGAATTTTCCCTTCTGCATCATGTCTGTGAACATCACCCGGATCGTCATCCAGGCGCTGCAGGAGGAGCGGCTCTCCCGGTGAGCAGGGCTGGTTTTGGGGTCTCAAGCTGCATCCCAGGTTGTTCCCCTGCCCAGCAGATGGCTGAGCCCTCTCCTGTTGTAATAATAATCAGTTGGGACTCAGTTTCTTCATGCAGAAAAGCCAATTCTTTATTCACATAACTCATTTTATACAGTTTTCGCAGACCTCGCATGTAACCCCAATTGGCTGGTAGTTTTCTTGCTAATCAATTCACTGGTTTAAAAGTGCCTGTGTGTGTAAGAATTTCTCCAAGTGTTTCCATGTTTCCTTAGTGGATTCTCATAGGACAGACCTATTGTTCAAGGAAGTGCAGATTTCTATTTCTCTCCAGGAACAGGTGTCCATCTTAATGGACTCTTCACTCCCAACATTATCCCACATGGGAACTTGCAACCTATTATTAGCTTAGCTAGAAAAACAGGGCCTAAACCACATTTTTTAAAGACTTTTGTAATCCTTGGAGTGGTCAGTAATCCCTGTACTCCCCTGTGCAGGGAGTGCAACCGGCGGCAGCAGGTGATCGGGGTGCTCAACGACCTCTACGCCGCCGCCTTCCTGCGCCTCTCCCGCCTCTGGGAGCAGCAGCACGGCACCGTGGCCAACGCTGCCTTCTTCCTCAAGGGTCTGTCTTCCCAGCTTCTCCCTCCCCAGCCCAGTGACATGGGCTGCAAGGCTCAGGAAGTCCAGACATTCCCAGTTTAATCCCCACACTGAGGTTTTTCCAGTTTTCCCCTATCCCAGGGGTGTTTTGCCTCCTATTTTCCACCCCAGGGCAATGCTGGAGGTGGGTGACACTCCCTGCTCCACAGGCAGGGAGCCGTAGCTTAGCCCCTGTCCATGAATTACCTAGTCCAGAGTGGAATGCTGTCAGTGGGACTCAGAATCCCTCAGGTATCAGGATCCAGCTGGCACTGCTGGGCTCCAGCTTCACCCCACCTTCCCCGCACTCCAGTTTTAGGGTGCTCAGGCTGGTTACTCTAGGGAGGATTGCTGTCAGTGGGAGTAGTGTATCCCTCAGAAATCAGGATCCTGCTGGCACTGCTGGGCTCCAGCTTCACCCCACCTTCCCCGCACTCCAATTTTAGGGTGCTCAGGCTGGCACAGTGCTCCCTCCTCCCAAGGAAAGCACGAGCCTGCCCTTTCCCAAGGGAAAATGTCAGGACACCAGATGTATTGAACCCTTGACACCATCCAGGTCTGCTCCCCTCAACCTTTTCCCCCTCTGACCTTTCCAGAGCTGGAATTATCCACCAAAAAGAAGCCGAGGCAGCTGCTGAAATCCCTGGAAGCCTACCTGAGCCGCAGCCTTCAGCCTCCCTCCCCTCCCTCCTCCTCCCAGATCCAATTCACCAGCATTTGTGACCCTGGCGTGGAGCTGGAGGGAGATTCCTGACCGGTCTGACACGGAGTGGGACGCTGCACAGGGAATTCTGCTGGTGGATCAGCCCTTGGAGGGAGACACACCGGTGTTCCCCTGGTTAGGGCGCTCGGGAAGGGCTGGGAGAGCTCACAGAGCTGGGATTTTGCCTGCTCCAGGTGGAACTTTCTGGAAGCAAAGAAGGAGGAGATGGTAGAGCAGGGGATTCCGTGAGCCACCCAGCCTGGTGCTGGGATAGTCACTCTCCCCACCCCAAATCCAGGGTCCCACCTGGGTCCTGACCCTCCCCAGGTGGAGCTGGAAGGTGCTGCTGGGTTCCTGGATCCCATCCCGGCCCCAGCAGCGCCTGGAATGGGTATCCCCCCACTTTGGGGGGCTGTGTCAGACCCCCCAGGGTCACTGTGGGCTGTCAGCACCCAAAAAAGTTATTAAAGGGGGGAGACAAAGGGTCTGGTGGGAAAGAGTTTTGGATTTGCCACTGGGGGAAGGAAAGGTGAGCTGGGGGTGCCCAGAGTCCACTTTGGGGTGAAAAAGGTGCTGTGGAGGAGAGAAATGAGGGTTGAGAGCTCCAAGGGGGAGGGCAAGGGTTATTCCCTCTGGGAGCTCAGGGCCAGTGCTTGGGAATGTCCCCAGGCCCCTAAAAATGGGGAAAAGCAGCCCCCAAAGGCCAAATCTGGGGAGAAATGAGGGGTTTGGAGAAGTGGGAGCTGGAGGAGAATGGAACATTGTGACCTCAGCCCCACTGAGAGGGCGATGATTCCTGGGGCCTGGGAATGCTCCTGGATGGAAAAAAAAAATAAAATAAATGGAGAAAAAGGAGCCTGGAGTTGGCGTTGGCTGTCCTGATCTTGACTTATTATGGAAATTGAAGGGGGAATTCTTTTCAGGTGTTTTGGGGGAACAAAGATGGGGGCGGGGGGGCATCGGGGCAGTCTTGCACCTGTGGGAACACATTTGGGAGTGGTACTGGAATAAGGGGGGGATAGAAAAGATGAGAGAAAATGGGAAAAGAAAGGATGGTATAAAAGGAGAATAAAAGCAAAGGGACAAGAAAAAAAAGGAGGTGGAAAAAAAAAGAAAGAAATAGAAAGGACAAGGAGAAAAGGAGGAAGAAAAAAAAAACAAGGGAAAGAGGCTCCACCACCCTTTTCCTAATTTATTTGTTTATTTGCCTTTTGCCTCTTCTCCTTTCCCCGCTCCTTTCTCTTTGTTTTCCCCCCTTTTCCAGGGGTGGTCCCGGAGGTGCGAGGCCCCCGCCCCTCCGCAGGTGAACCGGGGCCCTTTCGGCCTTTCCAGGCCGCTGCAGCCCCGAGGCTTCGGAGGCGTGGGACTGGGACAGCTGGGGACGGCGACACCGCGGCTGCTGGCCCTGGGCTGGTGGCGACCGCCCTGGGGGGCTGCTGGCCCTGGGGGCACGGGGACAGGGGCAGGGACAGGCCGGGAGCGCACGGCGGGGCTGGCGCCCGTGTCCGCAGCGGTGCTGGGGAGCCCAGAGGTGACCGGGACCCCCCGGTGGGGCCGTGGAGGGGCCGGGGGCTGTCCCGGGCCGGGGGTCCTGGTGGGGCCGGGGCCGGGGCCGTGACCCCCGGGCTGATCCCCCGGGCCGAGCCCCCCGGGCCGATCCCCCGGGCCGATCCCCCGGGCCGAGCCCCCGGGCCGAGCGTGGCGTGGGGCCGGGCCGGGGGGATCCTGTGGGGCTGTGGGGGCGTGCTGCTCCACACCTGGGCCTGGCGGGCCCTGAGGGTGTGCAGGGGCAAGTGCTCAAATCCTACAGGGGATGTGGGGTGTGAACAGGGACAGGCCGGGAGCGCACGGCGGGGCTGGCGCCCGTGTCCGCAGCGGTGCTGGGGAGCCCAGAGGTGACCGGGACCCCCCGGTGTGCTCAAATCCTACAGGGGATGTGGGGTGTGAGGGGTCAGTGTGGGGTGTGTAACCCCCCCAAATTCCCTCTAGGGCATGTGGGGTGTGAGGGGTCACTGTGGGGTGTGTAACCCCCCCAAATTCCCTGTAGGGCATGTGGGGTGTGAGGGGTCAGTGTGGGGTGAGTAACCCCTCATATCCTGTAGGGGATGTGGTGTGTAACTCCCCAAGTCCTGTATGGGATATGGGGTGTGTAACCCTTCGAATTCTGTAGGGGATGTGGGGTGAGTAACCCCTCAAATACTGTAGGGGATGTGAGATGTGAGGGGTCAGTGTGGGATGTGTAACCCCCTCAACCACCCCCAATTCCATAGGAATTTGTTTCTGTCTGCAGGATTTTTCCAAGGACCCTCGAGCACCAGTGCCTCTTCTTCTCCCCAGTTTGGGGGTGTCCCCCCAGCCATGACACCCCCCAGGGTATGTGACACCACAGGGACCCTCTGTGCCAGCAGCCTGCCCCTCGTGAATCCCCTCCAAAATCATACCGGGGTCTCCTCATTTTCCCCTTCTTTTCTTCTCACCAGCTACATTTTAAACCAAATTTACTTTTTTTTTTTTTTTTCCCCTTCTTTATTTAGGAAATGAAATTTGTCAGCCCCACCCCTCAGAAAGGGAAGGGGGATCCCGATTTGGGGACCAAGGAATTGGAATCCCAAGTTCCCTGACTCTGGATGTGGGGATGGGAAGGGCTGATGAGGGGTCTGGGGTTTCCCCAGATCCCACTGAGCCCCTCCCCAGGCCCATATTTCCCAGCTGATCCCACTGGATCTGGGTTAATCCCACTGGATCTGTGTCTCTGAGGGAGGGAAACCCCAGTGCCAGGGTGCTGATCCCCCAGAGCCAGGTTAATTCCCCTGCGTCCAGGCTGATCCAGCTCCACACTGTCACCAAAAAGTGCCACCAGCTTGTCCCAGCTAAAATTCCTTTATTCTTTGCCCGCGCCACAAGCGTGTTTTGGGGCGTTTCCACCCACATTTGGCATTCCCAGATGCCCCTTCCCGTTTTCCTTTCCCTGCTCAGATCCAAACGTGGACCAGCCGCTCGGGCCCGAAGCTGGAAGTGTTCATCCCCTTCCTGGGCAAATACCACCGGCCGGTTTCGGGGCGCTGCTGCCAGACCTGCACCCCCAGGAGCTGGGTAGGAGACTTTGGGGTGCCGGGGTGCTGGGGGGTTCTGCACCTGCAGGGGTTTATTCCCTTTTTCCTGCCAGGATGGATTCTACCCCGAGGACCTGGCCGCTCTCGGGTTCCGCGACGCCAGCCGCCTGACGGAGGCGGACACGCGGTGAGGAGGGGGGAGCTCTGTGCTTCAGAAAACACCTGCACAAACGCCTTTTCCCCCCAATATTTCACCAAAATGCCTGTGGGAAGACCTCTCCATCCTCCCTGGTTCCTCGTTATTGCAAATCAAGCTCGTTAATCAATTTTGGGAGGCTGGAAGTGGCGCTTCCGAGGGCTTGGGCTGCACTCTGCTCATGGGATTGGGGATTTGGGGTCGTGCCTTTATTTGGGGTCTTGGTGGGAAGAACGGGGAGGTGGAGGGTTGTTCTTCTCTCTGGCTCACAGGGAAAAGGGAAAACAGCCACTTCCTCCTAGAAGGAAAAATACCAGGAAAGGCAAAATTGTGGTTATCCCCCCTTTTCCTCTGGGCAGGAGCTGCCACAGAGCCATTTCCAGATATTTTCATTTTTGAGGTGCCAGCTTGCTTTAGCTCCACTCCCCTTTAGACAGCAATCCCTGGATTATTCATTTTTTGCTTTTCTCCTTCCCAAGTCGGGTCATTATTCTCCATTCAGTTCCAAATGTTCCCAGTTTCACCTTTGGAACCCTTGGAAGAATCCATTGGGATCACAGGGAATGCAGTTCCCCTGTCTCACTCCAACCCTTCCTGCATGCTCTGGGATGTCCCACAGCTCCCTCCCACCCTGCTCTCAGTGCAGATTTGGGGATAGATTGGGAAATTTCCGTGATTTGGGAATCCCGGGTTTGAATCCCAGCTTTCCTTCCTGCTGGGCAACCTGAAGCATCAATTCACCAGCGCCTCAACATTTCCAGCTGTGAAATGGGGAGCAATGTCCTGAATTTGGCAGAGGGGCAGGCTGGGGGGGGCTCTGATCCTGGTGGGATAGCCCCCCCCGGCCAGGATGTCACCATGTGTCCCCTCCAGGTTCCGGGGCTGGCTGGTCAGGAGGGTCTGTGGGTTCCTGGCAGCCTGGGAGTGGAAAATTCCAGCAGAGAGCGCCGGGGAGCTCCTGGTGCGGATCTGCAGCAGCAGGAGGTGGGTGGGAGCGGCTGGGGCCATCCCGGGAGGGGCTGGCCCCCAGTCCTGGCCATCCTTTTGGAACCCAGCTCTCTGCACCCCAACACCTGGGTGCTGGGGGCTCCCCCCTGCCCTGCTCTCCCCCTCAGGGTGCAGGATGCTGCCTCCGGCCGGGAGCCTGGCTCTGGAGGGGATGAGGGATCCCAGCAGCGCTGCAAGGAGGAGATCTGCCAGATCCTGAGGGAAATCCAGGCCCCGCTCTCCCCTCTGCTGCTGAGGTCACGGATCTTCCGGGGAGATTCTCTGGGGGATGGACACAGATCCTTTTTGGGGCATTCTGGGGTTTTGGGGGGATGCACGTGGATCCGTTGGGTGGTTTCCTGGGATCCTTTTGGGGGATATTTTGGGATATCCTTTGGCTGGCTGCCCTCTCTAGGTCCTGGAGAGGAGCTGGAGTGGGAAAATCCAAACCTTGCAGGAGGGAGGGAAGCACAGAAAACTTCCTTTTCCCATCCCAGTGCTGACAGCTGGGAATCTGGGGCTTCATTGCTTGTCTGATCCAGTGGGAATAAAGAGTACTTTTGAGCCGTTGAAGGGCAAGTGCTCCCCTGGGAATAAGAGCATTTGGGGATCCCAAAGTGGGACACTCATAAAGAGTACTTTTGAGCCATTAAAGGGCAGGTGTTTCCCTGGGAATAAGAGCACTTGGGGATCCCAAAGTGGGACAGGAATATGGAGGGAATGCGGGATTCCCGATGGCAGCTCTGGCTGCCAGTGGAAAGGAGGATGTCTCATCACACACAGCCTTTCACATGTGATAAAAGCGGAAATTTTGAGCAGGGATTTGGGGGAAACTGAGGCAGGGAGGGTTTGGGGAAGCCCCATCCACGGTAGAGTTCCTCATTCCCAGTTTCCCCACAGGCTGTGCCACTGGCTGCTCCCCAAGCTCCTGACCCGTCTGTTCCTGGGCGTGCAGCTGCACCGGGGGCAGCTGGAGATGGTGCTGCGAGCTGCCAGGACGGTAGGCAGCCCCGCCGGGCCCTCCCAGCCCCTGCAACGCCGGCAATTCACCCCAGCTTGCATTTCATCCCTTGCTTGCAGCCCGAGGTGCCGCTGGTGTTCCTGTGCAGCCACCAGTCCCCGGTGGACGGGCCCCTGCTGTCCTTCCTCCTGCTGTCCCAGGGCATCGGGCTGCCCCGGGTGACCGTGAGCGCCGGGACCAGCCCTCGCCTGCGGTGAGGCAGCGCCCCGGGGTGCTCCCCGGGCATCCTGGGCCACGCGGGGGTTGCCCACGCTGTCCTTCCCTCGCCAGATCCCTGCTCCAACGCCTGGGAGGGATTTTCCTGCCTTCAGGAATGGCACCGGCACGGAGTGACCGGGATGAGGGGCTCGCTGGGGCTGTGCTGGACGCGGTAAGTGCAGCTTGGGCTGTAAATCCCTCTGGAGCGCTCGGGGGCGGCGCTGGCAGCTCCCAGCACTCCCAGTCTGTCCCCAGTACGTGCAGGAGGTGCTGCGGAGCCGGCAGCCCCTGGTGCTGTTCCTGGAGGAGCCCTCGGCTGCCCTGCGGCTGGCGGAGCCCGCCCGGCGCTGGCTGCTCCGCCTGCTGCGGGCGCTGCGCGACGGGACCGTGCCCGACATCCTGCTGGTCCCGGTGGGAATCGCCTACGACGTGGCTCCTGGCAGAGTGGAGCGGGATGGAGCGGTGAGAAGGGCTCAGGGGGTCCCCGCAAATCGGTGGCACTGTCCCTTGGGGATCAGTGTTCCCCAAAACCTCTAGGAAGCACTGGGAAGATCCCTAGGGAGAGGCATAGCCCAGATCTCTGGGAGCATCCCTGGGGAGTGGCATCCTCCAAATGTGCTGTTAATCCCTCGATGCCATTCCTGGCAGCCCCCTCAGCCCCTCGGGGTCGGCTCGTGTCTCCGGGCAGCATTCCAGGCCCTGCTGGGCTGCCAGCACCGTGGCTGTGCCCAGGTGGATTTCTCTCAGCCCTTCTCCTTACGGGTATGGCAGATCCCTGCATCCATCCCGCACTGGGAGGCTCTTCCTGGGTGTTGGTGGGGTTTGGGCTGCCTGGGAGATCTGGAATTCCATCCCGGGGAAATCTGTGCTCCTCCCAGCCCTGGGGATCCAGAGATTGGGTGAGCTCCTGGTGCTGAGGGCTGCGAGCACCCACAGGCTCCTTCATCCTCATTCCCAGGAATTTGTGGACAACAACCTCGTGGGGCCAGTCCTCACCGGGAATCGTCCAGAGCAGCTGCTGCTTCCCACCATCCTGGGCAGGAGGTGAGGAGCTGAGCCCCCTGGGGGCAGTGCTCCCCTTGGATCTCTGCTCCTGGCTCTCTCCTACCACTCTCATCCTGCCTTCCCAGCCCTCTGGACGTGGGGACCGTGGAGGCTTCGAGTCCCAGTTCGGGGAGTGAAGAGGAGATTTTGGTGACGGCGCTGGGGCTGCACGCCCTGAGCGGTGAGGGGGTCCCTGCATCCCTTGGGACAGTGTTCCCTGCTCGGGAATGGGGTGGAGGTTAATCCCCCCTGGATAACGAGTGCCTCTCCCCCACGGCAGATTCCAGAGCCTGCTCTGCTGTCACAGCCGTGGGAATCACCGCGGCGCTGTTGCTCCACAGGCACCAGGAGGTGGGAGAAGGCTTCCATCCCCTTCCCTCAGAGCAGCATTCCCAGTGGGAATCCTCTCAGAGCAGCATTCCCAGTGGGAATCCCCCTCTGCTTCAGAACAGCATTCCCAGCAGGACTGCCCCCTGCCCTAAGGCAGTGTGCCCAGTGGGAATCACCCTTCTTTCCCTGGGAGCAGCATTCCAGTAACAGAATAGGAATCCCCTGTCCCCTCAGAGCAGCATTCCCAGTGGGAATCCCCTCCCCTCAGAGCAGCATTCCCGGTGGCAATCCCCTCCTCTCAGAGCAGCATTCCAGCAGCATCCCCCGTGTCCCAGGCCGTGCTGCTGCCCCGGCTGATGTGGGATTTCTCGGAGCTGCTGGAGCAGCTGCTGCTGCGGGGCCGGGCCGTGGGCTTCTCTGGGCAGCTGCGGGCGCTGGTGGGGCACAGCCTGCGGCTGCTGCAGCCCCCCCTGCGCCCCCCCAGGGCTGCTCTGGGGCCCCCCGAGGCCTCGGCCCGGGCACGGCTGGGCCGGCTGGCGGGCGGGGTCCGGCACCACCTGGCCGGGGAGGCCGTGGGAGGTGAGTGGGGACGGGGGGACACCGGTGGCACCAGGGAGCAGAGGCACTGGGGGAATGGGTGACACCGGGAAGGGGTGGTGGCTGCAGTCTGGAGAACACCAGGGGTGGTGTTTGTATCGTGGGGGTCGATGGCAGCGGGATTTGGGACAGCAGGGATGGGTGGTGCCAGGGAGATTGGTGATATTGGGGGTTTGGTGGCATTGGGCATGCAGGGGGTTATTGACACCGGGGAATGGGGATGGGGGGATTGGGGATGCCAGAGGTCAGGGACACTGGGGATGCTGGGGGCTTCAGTGACTCTAGGGCAGGTGACACCCCTGTCCCATCAGCCTGTGCCATCCGTGCCCTGCTGCTGGAGGTGCTGCCAATCCTGGGGCCGCCCTCCAGCCTCACCAGGATCGTGCTGAGCCGGGACGAGCTGCTCCACAAGATCCTGGAGCTGCTGCAGCTGCTGCCCCCCACCCTGCTGGGGCTCCAGGTGGGGACACGGGGCTGGCCTGTCATCTCCAGCCCTGCTGGGGTTCCAGGTGGGGACACGGGGCTGGCCTGTCATCTCCAGCCCTGCTGGGGTTCCAGGTGGGGACACAGGGCTGGCCTGTCACCCCTCTGCTGTGTCCCCAGCCCTGCCAGCCTCCTGACTGCCACAGCCTGGACATCGTGGACAAGCTCATCCTTGGGGGGCTGCTGGAGGAGGAGGAGGTGGGTGACCCCCCAGGACGTCTCGTGGGGCACAGGAGCAGGGTGGCTGCGAGGTGAGGTGACAGCCTGCTGTCCCTTAGGCAGAGGGTGAGCGCTGGGGCTGTGATGTGGCTCCTCGCCGGCGCTTCTGGCGGGGACAGTCCTTGGGCTTCTTCAGCGATGACAGCGACAGTGACAGCGAGCACGGCGTCCCCAAGCAGTGCTACAAGGTACTGGGGGGTCCCCCCGCTGCCCCCCGGGCTGGGGGGTGGGTGATCTCCCCTAAATCTGGCCGTGTACCCCCCCAGCTCCGCGAGCCCCAGGGCTTCCCCGGCTTCCTCCTCTTCCTCTGCCGCCTCCTGAGCCCCGTGCTGCAGACCTACGGCCGGGCGGTGCAGTTCCTGCAGAGACCCCCCTGGCCCCAGCCCGGTAAGACCCCCCAACGTGGGGAACCCCTTGGGACTCCCTGGGGCCACTGAGGCACGGCTGCAGCCCCGGCAGGTGGGATCTGACGCCCCTCCCCACTGCAGAGGCAGACTACGTGGAGGCACTGCTGGAATTCCTGGCCGAGGATGAGGATGGTGAGTCAAAGAAAGGGGGGAGGTCTTGCTTTTAGTGACCCCCGTGCCAGGTTGAGGGTTCCTGAGAGGTGGCATTTGGGGGTTCCCTGGGGATCTCTCTCCCCACAGGGTATCCTGACAGGAGCCTGGCCCTGAGCTCCCTGCAGAGTTTCAAGGACATGGGGGTAAGCACAGCTCCCCCAGCCCCCCAACACTTCGCTGCCCCTCTCCCTCCCCTCCTGACCTCCCTGTGCCCCCCCAGGTGCTGGAGGAGCTGCAGACCCCCACGGGACCAGCCCTGCAGCTCTCCCAGCCTTTCCAGTCTGCTTCCAACCGGGAGAAGCTGGCAGCCTTCATCCACCAGTTCACCCAGCTGTAGACCCCAGACCCATAAACGGGGCACAGTGACCCAATGGCTCCTGGATTTATTGACCTGGGGGGTGGTGGGACCTGGGGCGCCTCTCCACCGTCACACCACCCTGTTGCAGATGGTTCCCAGCTCCTCAATCTCACACTGCACCTCGTCACCGCGCTGCAAGGGGGGACACGGTGGCACCTGTGCCCACGGGGCTCCACCGTGTCCCCCCTGATCCCCCCATTTCCCCTCACCTTGAGGAAAACGGGCGGTTTCCGAAAGACCCCCACTCCTGCAGGGGTCCCTGTCAGCAGGATGTCCCCAGGGACCAGTGTCACAAACCTGGGGGGCACAGGAGGTGTCAGCCACGGCCCCCAGGGCTTTGGGGGTCCCCAGGCCCCCGTTCCTACCGGGACACCCAGGCGACGAGGGCAGGCACCCCGAAGATGAGGTGCTGGGTGTTGCTGTCCTGCATGAGCTGCCCGTTGACGCTGCAGCGGATCCACAGCTTGTGGACATCTGCAGGAGGTGACACAGGGGACATGGGGGACGTGGGGACAGTGCCACCGTGACCCCAGCAAGGGGAAAACCACGGGGGAACAGGGAGAGCGGGGGTGCGATGGCAGCGGTGCCAGCTGAGAAAGGGTCAGGGTGCCATCCCTGCCCCACCTGGCACCGCCTCCCTGGTGACAATGGCCGGCCCCAGGGGACAGAAGGTGTCGAAGGTTTTCCCCAGCAGCCACTGCCGCCCGTTGCGCCGCATCTGCCAGTCCCGGGCGCTCACGTCGTTGGCCACCGTGTAGCCCAGCACGTGCTCCAGCGCCTCCGCCTCCTGGGGACAGCGGGGACACTCTCAGGGGACACTCCCGGGGAGCCCCCGACGCGGGGGGACACTCAGGGGACACTCCCAGGGGACACTCCTAGGGGACACTCCCCGAGGCGGGGACACTCAGGGGACATTCCCAGGGAGCCCCCGAGGAGGGGACACTCAGGGGACACTCCCAGGGAGCCCCCGAGGCGGGGACACTCCCAGGGGACACTCGGGGGACACTCCCCGAGGCAGGGCAGGGGTACCTGAATGTGCCGCCCCCTCTTCCCGATGACAGCAGCCAGCTCCACCTCCCAGTCCAGCTCCTGCGGGGACAGAGGGGCTGGGAGGGCCATCCCCGGGGGGCTGTCCCGGGGTGGGGACACACCGGGGTACCCACGCTGGTGTCCTGGGGGTGCACGATGTCATCGAAGGGGCCGGCGATGGCGCTGGGGAACTTGCTGAAGATGAGGGGCTCCTTGGGCACCTTGGCAGCCTGCTCCTGGCAGTGGTCGTGGTAGTTGAGCCCCACGCAGATCACCTTCTGGGGGTCCCCCAGGGGTGCCAGCAGCCGTGCAGCCCCCCGGGGCACGCGGTGCTGCCCCGACTGCAGCGCTCTGTGGGGACACATCCGCGTCCACACCGGCGTCACCCGCCTTGGGGACACCCCTTCCTCAGGGGTACCCCTCTGGGGGGTCTTCAGCTGCATTTTAGGGATCCTTTTAGGGATATCCGCAGCTGAGGGGACCCCCTGGTTGGGGTCAGGCTCTCTTGGGGGGTCACACATCATGGGGTGTCACCCGTGGCTTGGAGTGCCCACGTTTTTGGGGGGCCAGCTGCTGGGGGTGACCCATTTGGGGTCATCCGAGGCAGCACGCAGATTTGGGTGGTGGCTCCTGTGGGGATCCATGAGGATACCCCCGATTTTGGGGCTCCCTTTCCTCCACCGCTGGGGGGGAGCCGGACTTGCAGCACCCACCTTTGGGGATCGCCCACCTTGGGGGGTCCCCCCACCTCTTTTGGGGGGTCACCCTTGGCCTCACCCACCTCTGGGCGAGCTCCAGCCCGCGGGGGCCGATCTCCAGGAATTCCCGCATGGACCGGGGCAGCTCCGGCTCGGCCGCGCTCAGATCCACCAGGTCCCCCCCGGGCGCCTCCTCCAGCCCGAGCCGGGGCCCCCCGCCCGCGGCCCCCCGGAACCGCACCAGCCGCAGCGCCCCGCGCATCGCCTGCGGCGCCGGGCTCGGCTGAACCCCGGCCCCGGGATCCCCGCAACCCCCGCAGTGCCCCCGGGATGCGCCCCCGGTCCCTGCACGCTCCCCCCGCCCCAATTCCGCTCGGTCCCAGGGATCCCCCCGGTCCTGCACAGGATCCGGGGGTCACCCCCGTTTCTCACCCGCTCAGTCCGGTCCCAAGGGATTCTCCACCGACCCCACAATCCCCCCAGCCCTGATCCAGGGGATCCCCCCCAATCCCAGATCCCCCCGATCCCGGGCATTCCCCCGTTCCCAGGGATCCCCCCCATTCTCAGACACCCCGATCCCGGGGGTCCCCCCTGTTCCCGGGCATTCCCCCGTTCCCAGAACCCCCCGTTCCCAGGGATCCCCCCTCCCCCGTCCCCAGGGGTCCCCCCCGTTCCCGGGCATTCCCCCCGTTCCCGCCCCCCCCAGTCCCGGGGGTCTCACACACGGCCGCTCCCCCGCTCCGCCAGGGGACGCTGCGGGCCCGGCCCCGCCCCGTCACGTGCCGCCCCCGCCCCCCTGAAGGTCGCCGCGCCGAGACCCCGCCCCATTCGGGCTGTCCAATGGGAAGGCGCAGAGGGCGGGGCCAAATTTTCAATGAGAGCCAATGAGAGGATAGGGTGCAGGGGGCGGGGCCGCGGGGAGCGGGAACGGGAGAGGGAAAGGGAACGGGAATGAGAGGGAACGGGAATGGGACCGGGAATGGGAATGAGAGAGGGAATAAGAATGGGACTGGGACAGGGAGAGGGAAGGGGAACGGGACTGGGAATGGAACCGGGACCGGGAATGAGTGAGGGAACTAGACTGAGACCGGGAATGGGAGAGGGACCGGGACCGGGACTGAGAACGGGGCTGGGAATGAGAGAGAGAACAAGACTGGGACTGGGAACGGGAACGGGACCTGGAATGGGGCTGGAAGAGGCACGGGGAACGGGACTGGGAGCAGGGCAGGGACCGGGACACCGCGCGCCTCTCACGTCCCCCCGACTCCATTTCAGCCCTAAACCGTCACCGCTTGGTTTATTACAAAATCGCCCTCCCCACGCTGCTGGGGCAGCAGGGGCTGTGCTTGGGTTGGTGTCTGGGGGCTCCATTCCACATGGAGACCCCACCCGGGGGTCCCATCTCTGAGGGTCCCCACGTCCCGGGGTCCCCCCTGGGGTCGGGTTTGTGCTGTTCCAGGTCCCTGCACTGCCGGGGAGGGGTCCGTGTCGAGGGGAGGCTCAGCCCCCCAAAATGGGTCAGGCTGGCGGGTGGCAGCACCGTGCCCGGGGGCTCTGGTGGCATCGTCCTTGTCCTTGTCCTGTCCCGTCTCTGGGAGCCACTTGCTGCATTTCTCCTGCCTCCTGTTTGTCCGAAACAGCAGAAAAACTCCGGCGGGGGCAGGCTCTAGAGCACGCTGTGGAAGATCTGCATGGAGCTCATGATGTCCTTGTCCTGGGGAGGGAGAGAGTGGAGAACCCCCTCTGAGCCCCCTCCTCTTGTCACCCTTTCCCTGTCCCCTCCTGTCCCCAGCATCCCGCACGTCCCACCACAGCCCTCCTGCCTGCCCAAATCCTTCTCCCAGCCCCAGCTCCCGTGCCTCTCCTGCTGTCCCTCCTCTCCCACCACGTCCCCAGCGCGTCGTTTCGGGACAGAACGAGGAGGAGGAGGAGGAGGATGAGGAGGAGGGTGCCCCCGAGCCCCCCTCACCTCTTGGCACGTGGCCAGGAACTCCTCGAAGGTCACCACGCCGTCCCCGTTCCTGTCCATCTTCTGCAAGGCAGCGGCCGGGGCTCAGCGGGGCTGCGCGGGGCGGCCCCGGGGGTGGCCTTGGGGACACGGGGACAGCCTCACCTGGAAGAACAGCTCCACGTGCTGGGCGGGCGCGCTGGCCCCCGGGGCGGGCTCGGTGCAGCGGCCCATCATGGCATAGATGGCTTTCATGATCTGCAGCATGTCCTGGGGGACACAGGGCGCTGGCAGCTCCCCCTCTGCCCGTCCCCATCCCGCCAGCCCCCCGCTGTCCCCAACTGTCACCTCCTTGCTGACGCAGCCGTCCTTGTTCACGTCGTAGAGGTCGAAGGTCCACCTCAGCTTCTGCTGCTCCGTGCCCCGCAGCAGCACCGAGAGCCCCACGGCGAAATCCTGGGAGGGGGCGGCGGGAGGGACCCTCACCCCGGCCATCCCCCCGCCGCCCCCCGCCGCCGCCGCATCGATCCCGGGGCGCCCCAGGGACTTCAGCCCCTATTGATCCCGGTATTTTTATCCCGGAGAGTCCGGCCACAGCCGGGGAGGGGAGAGGAGGAGGAGGAGGAGGAGGGGAGGAAGGATGTGATGAATCACGCTGCTGGCACCGCCGTTCCCACCCGGAATTCCCACCTGGAAGCAGAGAGCCCCGTTGCGGTCGGCGTCGAAGGCGTCGAACAAGAAGTGGGCGTAGGAGCTGGCGTCTGCGGGGACGGCACGGTGACTGCCCGCTTCCCCGGTGTCCCCCCCTTCCCCCGGGGCTTCGGGGACCCCCGACTCACCGCCTCGGGGGAAGAACCGCGAGTAGATGAGCGTGAAGGTCTCCTCATCCACGAGGCCGCTGGGGCATTCCTGCCAAGGGAGCGGCGCCGGTGACCCCGGGGGACGCGGGGGGACGCGGCTTTGGGGTGCGGGGAGCCCCGACTCACGCTCTTGAAGCCTCGGTAGAGCGACTGCAGCTCCGGCTTGGTGAACTTGGTGCGAGCCAGCAGCTGCTCCAGCCCCTCGGGATGGTGCCGGGCGCTCGGCAGCTCCACGTCGGCATCGCCGCTGTCTGCGGGGGGAGACCCAGGGAAAAAAACCCTTAGGGACCCCCCCTGCGCCCCAAAACACCCAAAGACCACCTTAGGAACACCCTGCACTCCAAATCCACCGGGAAAAACTCCTTAGGGACGCCCCCTGCGCCCTAAAGACCCTCTTAGGAACGCTCCCTGTGCTCCAAACCCACTCAGGGAAAACCCCCTTAGAGACCCCCCTGCGCGCCAAAACACCCAAAGACCACCTTAGAGACCCCCTGCACCCCAAACCCACTCGGGGAAAAACTCCTTAGGGACCCCCCCTGCGTGCCAAAACACCCAAAGACCACCTTAGAGACCCCCTGCACCCCAAATCCACCTGGAAAACCCCCTTTGGGACGCCCCTTCACCCCAAACCCCCAAAGACCCCCTTAGGGACACCCCAAAGAGCCCCTTAGAGACCCCCTGCACCCCAAACCCACTTGGGGAAAAACCCCTTAGAGACACACCCTGTGCCCCAAAGACCCCCTTAGGGACACCCAATCCCCCCCTTAGGGACCCCCCCTTCCCCCCAGACCCGGCCCGGTGGCCCCGGAGCTCCCCGGTGACCCCGGACACGGCGGGTGTCGCCTCCCGGGGCTTTCCCCGCATTCCCAAGGCTCCGAACGTTCCCGAGCCGCCTCTTGGCGGCCCGGCCCGGCGGAAGGTAATTAATAAATGATGCTTCATTAATAATTGCAGCCCGGGGAGCCCCTGCGGGGCCGCTCAGCGATTTTGGGACGGGGCTGCGAGCCCGGAGCGTTCCCAAGGGTGACCCCCAGCTCGGGGAACTGGGGGGGCCTTGGGGGGTCCCTGTGCCCAATCACAGGGGGTTTGGGGGTCACTGTGGGGTCGTGACCCCCACCTCGGGGGGCTTGTTGGGGTCAGCGCCAGCTCAGAGCCCACCCTGGGGAGGTTTGGAGGTCACTGGGGGTCCCCACTGCCCGCTCCTGGGGGTTAACGGGGTGGGGGGGAGGTCTCAGGGATGGGGGTCCCCATCCCTGGTGTTTTGGGGTGGGCGTCCCCATTCCCAGGTGTTTGGGGGGGTCTCTAGGGTGAGTATCCCCATTCCTGGTGTTTTGGGGTGGGGGGTCCCCATCCCCGGGTGTTAGGGAGGTCTCTGGGGTGAGGGTCCCCATCCCCGGGTGTTTGAGGGGTCTCTGGAGGTCCCCATCCCGGGTGTTTTGGTGTGGGGTCCCCATTCCTGGTGTTTTGGGGCGGTCTCGGGGGTCCCCCCGCCCGGAGGGGCTGCAGGGGGGGTTGGGGTCTCTGCCGCTCCCCCCAGCCCCAATCCCCATCCACCCTTCCCCCCAAACCCGACCCCGCTCCTGCTGCCCGGCCCGGGAGCTCGCGGAGCGCTGGGGCTGAGCCCTCATTAACCAATTAATCACTGATCGGGGTTAATTGGGGCTGGGGGCGGCGGGGTGGGGTGGGGGTACCTTCGGCAGAGATGGGCTCCAGGATGCCGAACTGCTTGAGCACGGCGATGAAGAGGAGGATGAGCACGGCCACGGCGCACAGCTCCATGCCCTGGATGCCCATGGCCCCGGGGGGCACCGGGGGGCACCGGGGGTCCCCCAAAGCCTGCGGGGCTCTGCCGGAGCTGCGGGAGCGCGGGCGGTGCTGTGCCCGTCCTGCCCTCCTCCTCCTCCTCTTCCTCCTCCTCCTCCTCCTCCTCCCCTGGCACCCGGCCCTCCCGTGGTTTCTGCACTTTCCCAAAGAAAGTTTTGGGGTTTTTTTTTGTTTTTGGGGAAGGGGTTCGGGGGCGCTTCCCCCGCTCCCCGCGGCTCCCGCGGGTGTCGGGGTCACAGCGGGACGGTGCCACCGGAGCGGGCCCCGAAACCGGGGCGGGGGGAGGTTCCGTTGTGCCCCCCCGGGCCGGGGGATCGATGGCATCGATGGCCATGAGTAAGCAGCGCGGGGAGGGGAAACTGAGGCAGGGAGGGCGGGGGGGTGTCCCCACCCCTCAGGGGTGTCCCGCAGCCTGGGGACATCGGCGCTGTGCCCCCGGGGGTGTCGCTGTCACCTCCAGGGACCCCCCAGTGCCCCCCCAGTGCTGAGGTGTCCCATCGCCATGGCCCCGGGGACATTGTCCCTGTCCCCCCAGGGTGTCCCTGTCCCCCCAGGGTGTCCCTGTCCCCAGTGTCCCTGTCCCCAGAGTGTCCCTATCCCCCAGGATTCTTCCTGTCCCCTCGGGGTCCCATCTCCCATCCAAAATCTCAGCCCCCCCCGGGACCACCGGACCCACTCTGGGGGCGTGGCCACATACAAAGGCGGGGCCACCACGGGGAGAGGAGGGGCCACCCGCAGGGGCGGGGTCATGTACAGGGGCGGGGCCACATGAAGGGGCGGGGCTCTGTGGCTGTGGGCGTGGCTCCGGTGGCGGCGCGCCGCTGCATCTGTCGGTCCCGCCGTCCCGCCCAACGTCACTTCCGCTTCCGCCCGTGCCGGAAGTGCCGCCAGTCTCGCCGCCATGGCCTCAAGGTTACTGCGGGTGAGCGCGGCCCTGCGGCTCCTGCCCGCGGCGTCCGCCCGCGCCCCGCCCGCCCGCCACCTCAGCGTGCCCGGTGAGCGGGGACGGGGGAGCGGGGAGACGGGGGGGAGAGCGGGGGGAGGAGCGGGGGGGAGCGGGGCGCGGTGTGTGCAGCCCCGGTGTGACGGCGCCCCGCAGGGAACCTGGCCAGCGATGAGGAGCAGGCGACCGGGTTGGAGCGGAAGGTGATGGAGGCCATGAACAAGGGGCTGGTGAGTGCCGGGGGAGCCGGGGCTGGGGCTGGGGTCGGGGTTAGCCGGTCCCGGGGCTGGGGGGGGTCGGGCACAGGGTGTCTCGGGGTGGAGCTGGGGATGCCGGGTGGGGGCTTGGCGGGGCCAGGCTGCGCTGGGGGGCTCTGGGGGGTTCGGGGGGCGCTCAGAGCCCCGGTGCCCGCAGGACCCGTACAGCATGTTCCGGCCCAAGCGCTACGCGGGCACCAGGGAGGACCCGAACCTCGTGCCCTCCGTGTCCAGCAAGCGCATCGTGGGCTGCGTCTGTGAGTGCCCCTGGCCTGGCCCTGTGTCCGTCTGTCCCCGTGTCTGTGTGTCTGTCCCCGTGTCCGTCTGTCCTGTGCCCGTGTCCCTGTTTCCATCTGTCCCTGTGTCTGTGTGTCCGTCTGTCCCCGTGTCCATCTTTCCTGTGCCCGTGTCCCTGTTTCCATCTGTCCCTGTGTCCCTGTGTCTGACCATCCCTGTGTCTGTCTGTCCTGTTCCTGTGTCTCTGTGTCCATCTGTCCTGTGTCCCTGTGTCTGACCATCCCCGTGTCGCTGTGTCTGTCCCTTTCCTGTCCGTGTGACCATCCCAGTGTCCGTGTGTCTGCTCATCCCCGTGTCCACCCGTCCCTGTGTCCGTGTGTCCGTCCGTCCCCCCGTCCCTGTGCCCATCCTCCCACCCGCGCCTGTCCACGCTGTTCGTGTGTCCATTCCTGTCCCCTTGTCCGTTTGTCCGTCCCCTTCTGTCCTTGTGCTCTGTCCCACACCGTCCCTGTCCCTCAGTCCCTGTCCCCCACGCGCGTCCCCCCGTCCCTCTGTCCTTGTCCCTCTGTCCCTGTCCCTCTGTCCCACATTGTCCCTGTCCCCCATGCATGTCCCTCTGTCCCCGTCCCTCTGTCCCACGCTGTCCCTGTCCCCCCAGGTGAGGAGGACAACAGCTACGTGGTTTGGTTCTGGCTGCACAAGGGCGAGGCCCAGCGCTGCCCCTCCTGCGGTGCCCACTACAAACTGATCCCCCACGAGCTGCCCCACTGAGGGACCCCAGACCCAAACTGCTCCCCCACGAGCTGCCCCACTCAGGGGGCTCTGGGACCCCCAAACTGCTCCCCCACGAGCTGCCCCGCTGAGGGGCTGGGGTCCCCCTCGCTCCCCTCCCCGGGGTCCCGTTGACCCCCAGATCCCCCCATAAAGAGGTTGTGTGGAGAGCCTGGCTGTGTCTGTGCTGGGGGGCTCGGGCCGTGGGGGTGTCACCGTGGGTGGGAGGGGACGGGGGGCTCTGAGGGGGACACCGTGGCCTAGGGGTGGTGTTTGGGGTGGGGGGACCCCATCTCATTGTGCCTCTGCCCTGGGACTGGGGGGAGAACCCCGAGTGGGTCCCTCTGGGCTTCAGGAGCCCCTGAGCACCGAGGGGGCCTGGGTGGGTCACACAGCCCCCCCACACACACAGGGGACCCCTGGGGCCCTTTGTCCCCTCAGACTGTTCTGGGCTGTCCCACGGGTGTCACCCCTGTGGGCTGGGAGGGTCCCAGGGCGCTGATCCTGGGGAGAGACCACCAGGGGCCAGGGGATGCCCAGAGGGTCCCGGGTGGCCACAGGGGGTCCTTGAGGGTTCCCAGGGGATCCCCAGACACCCTGAGGGGTCCCGGGGTGTCCCTTAGGGGTGGCCATGGGCCAGACTGGAGGACTCCCCTTGGGCAGCTCATCCCAACCTGGGGACAGGGCGGGTTCTGGAAGGTTCCGGCGGGTTCTGCCCACCAGGCCCAGCTCAGGGCTCGGGGTGGAGGTCAGAGGTTGGAGGTTGCCCGTCCAAAGGGTGGCCCCAGTGCCACTGACCGGCCATGATGTCATCGATGATGTCACGCTGGCTGGCCATGACGTCATGCATCTCCAGCTGGAGGGGGCGGAGCTGTGAGCCTCACTGGCCAATAGGGGTGGTGAGAGACTGCTGGGGGTGGGACCTTGGGCATCATGAGCCAATGGGGGCTGCGAGAGGCTGTGATTGACAGAAGGGAAGGGCGGGAATCTCCGCTCAATGAAGGGAGGAGCTGGGGGCGGGGCTTCAGGGACCAATAGGAGCTGCCGGTGTCTGTGACTGACATCCGAGGTGGGCGGGATCCTGGGCTGCATTGACCAATGTGAGCCGGCTGTGGCCGTGACTGACAGCCCGGCAGCAGAGCGCTGCGCTCAATGGAGGGGAGGGGGCTGCGGGGCGGGGCTCGGACCCAGCGACCAATGGGAGGTGTGGCGACGGTGACTGACAGCTGGAGGCGGGACTCGGAGCGATAGCATTGGAGGGTAGGGGGCTTCGGGGCGGTGCCTGGAGGGGGGCGGAGCTTCTCTGGGGGCGCGCGGGGACGCGGCGGGCGGGGCCCCCAGCGCACGTGACGGCGGCGGTGCGGCGGTGACGTCAGCGGTGTCGCAGCGGGGCCGGAAGCGGGCGGCGCGCGGGGCGGGCGGACAAGATGGCGGACGGGGACAGCGGCAGCGAGCGCGGCGGCGGCGGCGGGTTCGGGACCGCCCGCGGCGGGGCGGGGGGGGCCGGCCCGGCCGCGGGGCCCGGCGGCGGCGGCGCGGCCGGCCCCGAGCAGGAGACGCAGGAGCTGGCGTCCAAGCGGCTGGACATCCAGAACAAGCGCTTCTACCTGGACGTGAAGCAGAACGCCAAGGGCCGCTTCCTCAAGATCGCCGAGGTGGGCGCGGGCGGCTCCAAGAGCCGCCTCACGCTCTCCATGGCCGTGGCCGCCGAGTTCCGCGACTACCTGGGCGACTTCATCGAGCACTACGCGCAGCTGGGCCCGTCCAGCCCCGAGCAGCTGGCCCAGGCCGCGGGGCCGCCGGGCGAGGACGGCGCCGGGCCCCGCCGCGCCCTCAAGAGCGAGTTCCTGGTGCGGGAGAACCGCAAGTACTACCTGGACCTGAAGGAGAACCAGCGCGGGCGCTTCCTGCGCATCCGCCAGACCGTGAACCGCGGCCCCGGCGGCCCGGGGGGGTTCGCGGGAGGCCCCCCCGGGCTGCAGAGCGGCCAGACCATCGCGCTGCCCGCCCAGGGCCTCATCGAGTTCCGCGACGCCCTGGCCAAGCTCATCGACGACTACGGCGGCGAGGAGGACGAGCTGGGCGGCCCCGGCGGCGGCGGCCCGGGCGGCGGGGGGCTCTACGGGGAGCTGCCCGAGGGCACGTCCATCACCGTGGACTCCAAGCGCTTCTTCTTCGACGTGGGCTGCAACAAGTACGGGGTGTTCCTGCGGGTCAGCGAGGTGAAGCCGTCCTACCGCAACGCCATCACCGTCCCCTACAAGGCCTGGGCCAAGTTCGGCGGCGCCTTCTGCCGCTACGCCGAGGAGATGCGCGACATCCAGGAGCGCCAGCGGGACAAGCTCTACGACCGGCGCGCCGGCCCGCCGGGACCCGGCAGCGGCAGCGGCGCCGGTGACGACTCCGACGGCGACGACGTGGACGACGACTGAGCCGATCCCCCCAGCCCTCGACCCCGACGCCGGCCCCCCACCACCCCCCCCGAGCCCCGGGGCGAGCGGGTCCCCGATCCCCCCTCCCAGTGACGGGGCAGAGGGGTCCCCTGACCCCCCCCCAACAGCGACGGGGCCGAGGGGTTCCTGAGCCCCCCTACCCCCTCCCAGCGGCGGGGTGAAGGGGTCCCCAAACCCCCCGGGCCTCCGCTCCCAGCAACGGGACGAAGGGCTCCCCGAGCCCCCCCCCAGCAGCGGTGGGGCACGGGGGTCCCCGAGCCCCCGCGCCCCCCCCTCTTGCCGCCACCGGAGAGAGAGAAACCGGCCCGACCGTGCCGCTGCCCCCCCGCCCCCTCCCCGGCTCCCACCGTGGGACCCCCGGACCCCAGGACTCGCTGCTTTGGGGGGGGACGGGGGTCACCCGCAGCCCCCTCCCCTCCCGGTGCCCCCCATCCAAACCAGCACGGGAGGGCCCCGGAGCCGAGCGGCAGCGGGGGGGGGGGGCAGCGGAGGCACCTTGGACCAACGGCCGTTCCCTCGGCTTGTGATTTTCCCTTCATTTTCCTTTTTTTTTTTTTTTTTTTTTTTCCTTTTTCCCCGAATTTTTTTTT